AGGATGGTGCAGCAGAGTCAGTACCAGTACAGCCTGCCCGTGGAGGAGATGGGCAGCCCTGCCCTGCAGCCCCGGGGCAGAGGGAGGAAATCCTCGAGAGTGGGGCGTAAGCGGCTCCAACAGGGACTGGGGCAAAACCCCGGGCTGCACCAGGCATGGAGACCTGTGACAGCCCAGCAGCCGCGGGGCCTAGGGACCTTGTCCCCTGTGTCTGCCCGGGATGAGGCTGAGCCCACAAGCAGGCACCCAGCAGCGCAGCGGGGGCTGGAGCCCAGCCCCCCAGCAGCAGTGACCATGTTGGAACAGGACCAAGCTGGAGGAAGGCGAGCACTGGGAGGGGCACAGCGAGGGGCTGGGGGGTCGGTGTCCACAGCCTGCTCTGGAGATGGCCGTGTGGGATCCAGCCCAGTCACGGAGCCGTGCAGAGCCACCCCTGTGCCTGCTGTGGAGGGGTGCAGGCAGCAGGGAGAGTGGGTGCTGGGGCAGAGCATGCACCACAGCTGGGGTGTCCTGATGCCTCAGCCCCTTGGGGTCATGTCCCAGAGATGCCCCTCACTGTCCCGCTGTCCTCAGGCCCAGACAGGGTGTGCAGGTGCTACAAGCACCTGGATCAGTGCAAGCACCAGATTGAACCCCACAGGGTGAAGTACCAGCTGCACAACACGGACACCCGGATGCTCTTCCATTGCAACTGCACTCGCAGGTGGGTGTCCCGGAGGAAAAGGCAGGGCTTTTCCCACCATCACAGGACACTGTGTGCAGGTGGTTTGGGGTCAGACAAGGTGGGACTTAGTGGGATGTCCACCCCGGCCAACAGCTGCTGACCGCTGCCCTCCTGTGCCCGCAGGCTGGCACGGTTCCTGCACAGGGCAAGATGCCTCAGTGCTGCGGAGGTGACTGTCCTGGCTGACCACATTGCCATGGACTGCTTTGTTCTGAAGCCACCCACTGACTGCAGTCTGGGTGAGGGGCCACAGCACAAGTAAGTGCAGAGGGTCATAGGCACATGGCCTGCATGGGGCTTCCTACCCTGCATGGTCAGGAGGGATGTCCTGGCACGGCTGGGTGCTGTCCTACAGGCTTGGCATGAAACTGGCACTGCAAGTGTTGTCCCCTGCTCTGCTGTGCCATGAGCAGGGATAGTGTGGAAAGCAACGTGTTAGTGCTGCAAGTGTTACAGTGATGCTCACAGTCTTGCTTCTCCAACAGCTGTCTCACAGTGACACAGGCTGTGCTAGTACCTGCACAGCATCTCAAAAAGCCCCTGAGGCGCTGGGGTCCTCCACAAGTGACCTCCAAGGTTGAGCGTCCAGACTGGAAGACACAGGACAGTGGTGGTAGCCTCTATGAGCAATGCCTATGGTTGGCCTTGGAGCAGAAGCCGGACGCTTAGCACCACACAGTGCCCAAGAAGCACTGCCTTGCATGGGAAGACATGCTGTGCAGCTTGATTTCTGGTCCTTGAGACAAAGGATAGCACTGAGCATGGCTGCTGGCATGACTGCATGGAGCTGGTGGGGGCTGGAGCTGGAGTGGGGGCAGGCAGAGGGACTGAGAACCCTCAAGGAGCTGTGGCGGCTGTCTGTGAGCATCAAAGCAAGAGGAAAGACATAGGAGGGCTTGGGAAAGGGGAAACCCATCTTCCCTCCCTGGTGTGCCCTGAGGCAGGGGGGATGGCTGTGAGCATTGGATTCCCCCAGGTAGGGGGATTCCCCCTGAATTTGGGGGTCTGCTGGCTCCCAGCCCAGGCCTCTTTCCCGAGGAGGGGTCAGTCCCTGTGTACAGCAGAAGATAAATAAAGGGTGGTCTGAGCATGGTGCTGGGGCTGAGCCTGCTGCCTCCTGTTCACACTGCAGCCCTCACCCCGGGGGCTGATCCTCCTCTCCTGCAGTGAGCACAGCACAGCTGGGGTGGGCAAAAAAAGTTTATTTTGTCACTTGCACTACATCCAAGGCTGAGGCATGCTGGTAGTAGCAGGGAAGGAGCAAGCTTCAGTCTCAGGGATACCCTTGGGTGGTCCTCACTCTATGCCCATCACCATTGCCACCAGAGCCCTCCCCTGGCCTCCTGTCCCACCTCAGGTGCAAGGCCAGTGCTCTGCCCATAGGACTGAAGGGTCTTGCACTTTGAATTTCACAAGGGGCTCCCTCCCACCGCACTAGACCAGCCTTGCCCTCTCCTGTGCCACCACACAGCCCTACCAGGGCTGGGAGGAGCAGGGAGAGGCCCCTACCTGCCCGGCCCATGACAGTGGTGAGGAGTCACTGCAATAAATAAGGGAGTGGGGTGTCTCAGCAGGGAAGTGGCAGAGGAAAGCACACAGCAAGCGCGCTACAGGGAGGACAGAGGGGGCCACTGCATCAGCGGCTCATGGCACAGCTATGGCTGTCCAGCTCCTGGGGGCTGCTCCCCTCCTTTGGGGAGGTGCTGCAGCCCGGGAGGCTGGTGGGGCTCATCCTCTGGCAGGGGTATCCCTGCTCCACGCTCTCCCTCTGCCGCCCCATGGCCTGGTCGATCATCTCCAGACGGAGCGCAGGCAGCAGACCCAGGTTCCTGGGGTCAGCCCTGGCCAGGGGACTGTCAGCAGAGACATGCCGGGTTCTGCCCTGCTCCCGCACAGTCTGGTAGAAGGAGCTGACCTCCTGGTTGTCAGCTGCCCATACTGGCTCCTTGGCTTTAGTTCCACGGCACCCTGGCTCCTCCTGGGGCAGGTGGATGGTGGGGATGTCCCCAGGGAGGCCTCGGTGGCTCTGAGGTGAAGGGCTGCGG